CACACACACACACACAGGCTGTGCATAGACCCAGGTTTAACTTGTGGAGTAACTTGTAATTGGAGCCGTTTCTCCCCCAACTCCCCACTGTGGTTTGTCCCTTAAAGGAAAATAACCCTTTAACCTATTTGTTGCTACGGCAACAGAGGCTGGCTCCGGGCCGAGGGGCTTAACGTGGAGATATGTCGAGAGCGAGAGGAATCAAAACACAGCGTTTCCACCGTCCGCCTCAGTGGCTGCTATCAGCAACAAGGTAATCAGAACAACAGGAGGCCGTAGATACACACACTGTGGGTGTGACCGGTGTCAGCACCGAGCTCTTACTGACTTCAATAACACACAGGAAGGTTTGATGTTACAGTTCCAGCAGACTTTGTTTTAATGTTTCTATATCTGCAAGTTTTTTTTTTATTGAATTATTTAAGTCTCACTCCCCCAACGTGAACATGAGCAGAGTCACGCCGCCCTGGAGCGACGGCTGACCCACAAAGTCCAGGTTTTAAAAGGACTCTAACAAAAAACGTTTTTCATTCAGACACATCAGATATTTTTGCTCGAATCGGTTTCACTGTGAAAATATGAGTCTGATAATCGTGTTCATTTTTCACTGTGTGTGTTGTTTTGAGAAAAACATTCTCAAATATTCTCCCTCTTTATCTTTGTTTGTTTAAATTCAATATTTTACTGTCAGATGTAGATATGAGTCTTTGAAAGCAACAGAATATTGTAAGTTTCACGTCTCGTGTTGATTCTCCGATAAACACCTGTAAACTGTGACCCAAGTATGATTTGCACAAAAGGTTTTAAGCACTAATAAAACAAACAGGACGCTGCATTCAGAATATTTCATGAATCTACAAAATCGGACTAAATTGAGGTTTGCAGTTAGTTATTCTGTTGCTTGACTCACTAATGTTTTGTAAGTAAATGATTTATTGTCAACAACAGTTTGTGGAAGGTGTCAAATGTAAACTGTGGCTGAAATATCAGCGGTAGAGAACGTGTGATAGAGGTTGATATGCTTCTCAAAACTAAGGCAAACGTCGTATGTCAGAATTCAGTTTGGTTTGCAGGTAAGAATGTTGCTGCACTTTAATATGAACTATTTGTCATCAACAGGAAGTGTACAATGTGGTAGAATTCATCATTTCTAATTTCTTAGCGATTCTTAACAGTCTGTAGAGTGTCAATGATGCTGGGTGATGTGTGGTTTACAGTCAAGTACTTTTACAATTATTAACAGTCTGTGTTAAACAGTAGATGCTGATAACTGAAAGAATATTTCTCTTCTGAAGAAGCTGAATCTCCAGTGAGATCTGGGCTGAGGTTTCTTAGGGTCAAGAATTTGTCTTCTGCCTTCTAAAAAAAAAAACTGTAATATCCTGTGAAATTTCATTTTAGTCTCGACTGAAAACTCCCTCAACTGTCGCGGTGGAGAGGAAACGTGTTGATGTCTGGTCTCGAAGTTCAGTTTGGTTCACGGTAAGTTTCTGCTTTTCCAGTTTGTATCAGTAGATTATTCTTTGTTATGACCAAGAAAAAAAAAACCACAGTCGCTTCTGCCTATTTATTTCCAAAAACTGTTTGTTGAATGAGTTTGTGCTGTTTGTTGCCTTTCACCGTGTTCTGTGCATCTATAGAGACCTGCGGAGACGGTGGCTCCGATCAATTACTGTGTTGACAGCGAGGCATCCAGAGCAGCCGGGCGCCACATAGAGAGAGGTGGGAGAGAGGGGAGGGGGCTGGGCGCTCTGGTAACAGGGGGTCAACTTGTTCTATTGCGTTTCTTCCTTTTCTTCATATCTGGCTTCTCCCAAAAACATCCCGTAGGTATAAACAGGCAGCAAGTAGCATTATTTTAGTTTTTTGTTTA